CTCGCGGAGGCTGGTGGTGCAGCAGGCGGGGCCGGCGGACGCCGGGGAGTACAGCTGCGAGGCGGGGGGCCGGCGCGTGACCTTCCGCCTGCAGGTCCAAGGTGGGTTCCAGTCCTTGTCACCCTCATTGTCACCTTTTGATGCTGGTGCTCACGCCCTCACCCTTGGTTGCACACCTGTGTCTCGTCAGCAGAGCCCTGCCCACAGCCAATCTGTTTGTACATGGTCTGGGTGTGGGCAGCGTTGAGACTATCCTTTGTCCTTGCCCCCTGGACCTGCAGAGTGACCCTTCTCTGTGGAGCCTGCTGAGGCGTCCTGGTCCCTGATGCTCGATACCCAGGAGTTGTACATAAGCTCGCTCTCCCGGACAGTGTCTGGACAGCTCCCTGCTGTCCGGCTGGCCTGGCTTTGCCTGTGCATTGCTGCACGGGTGCAGCTGGTGGAGGTGCTTGCCCCTCTGCCTCTTCCTCCTGCCCTTGGGGTTGCATCCCAGCACAGGCTTCCTGGGTCTGGCCCCCAAGGCTGGATGCAGCCTCAGCCCCTGTGGTTCCTGGGCCCTCGAGCCCCCTGCAGCCCTGGGTGTGGCCTCGTGGACTGGTTCTCCCCTCTCTGCTCCTGGCTCAGGGTGGGCTCAGGCCCGGAGCTCTGGTCGTGTCTCACGCTGACTCACCTCCCCAGAGCCGGCGCCCCAGCCCCCGGCCCCAGAGCGGGCGAGCCGCAGGGAGCCGATGGTGGTCAGGGAACACGAGGACATTGTGCTGACCGCCATGCTAGCCGCTCCCTCTGTGGCTGCTGTGACCTGGCTGAAGGACGGCGTGGAGCTTCGTCGCAGCAAGCGGATGGAGATGGCCAGCCTGGGCGACACCCACACCCTGACCGTGCGGGGGGCGCAGACCCTGGACAGCGCCGTATACAGCTGCCGCGTGGGCACGGGGGGGCAGGACTTCCCGGTGCAGGTGGAAGGTGAGGCCTTAGCCCTGGGATGCCGGCCGGCCGCCTCCCCGCTGACCGCCCCCGCTGACCTCCCCCCTCCCACAGAGGTGGCCGCCAAGTTCTGCAGGCCCTTGGAGCCGGCAAGCGCGCCACTGGGCGGCTCGGTGACCCTGACCTGCGAGCTGAGCCCGGCGCAGGCGGAGGTGGTGTGGCGCTGCGGGGCCACGGAGCTGCGGGCCGGCAAGCGCTTCCAGATGGCAGCAGAGGGCCCGCGGCGCTCGCTGACCGTGTGCGGCCTGCGGGCGGAGGATGCGGGCGAGTACTCGTGCGAGAGCAGGGATGACCGCACCAGCGCGCGGCTCAGCGTCGTGGGTGAGCGACAGGGGCGCTGGCCC